GCTATATTTAGAATTTATAAAGACGAATTTGATACGAAGTACATTTTCGATGAACGCGCGATTCTTAGTGAATAGCAGCAAGAGTCTCATTCAGTGATTAAAAAGTAAAAGAATTCAACTCTTACCATGATTATTCTTGAGAGGTTTAGCAGTTTTTGGCGTCATTTGCAGAAAGTAATTTACACTCTAAGAATGATAAGATCAATATGAATGGCTATTTCTTACCAATCGAATATTTTAGTTCACCCAACGATTAACAATAATCCCGTTATGACACAAAATTGTCATCTTAGTCTTCACGAGCAATCTGTGGTAGGTTAATATAGTGTCAAACATTCTATTATAGGCTTATCTTTCCTTATCTCATTATGTAACTAAAATTGATCTGTTCTGTTTTCTAGCAATGTATTAAAGAATTAAATGCTTCTAATGACACCCAAATCATAAATGATTTATTACCAACGGAAAATGAAACGAATATTTTTACACGAAAATATGCAAAAGCGTCAAGAAAAGTAAAGAAAAATCCTTTGGGCGCCCAACATTGTATAGTCAATACCCAGAAATTCTAACAGAAACGGAACGCTTCCTTGGCCTTCATTCAGCGGGTACGTGTGAGATACTTTGATCTGTATATGCACTAACTAATGTCCCAGTTGATTTTGTAGGAGCAGACAATAGACGCCGAACCGAGCAGTTGTGGCATAATGGGGTTACTGTTAAAGAGATTCAATGTCAAATACAAAAAACATTCAGTTGCGGTTACCCTCGATTAAAAACCATTTCTCAGTCGACCGTCCGCCGCCTTATGTTAGCACCAAGATCAAATGTAAGAGCTTCTAAATATTATCATGGTATCATTCAAGCAAAAATTCCACCAAAAAGGAATTCAACATCAGTTTTACCACCTAGTTTTCATTTTTCTGCTGCGCAGGTGAAATACGGACAAGAATTAGCATCGTTATACAGTGATGAAATTATAGATATGTCGTGTGATAACAAAGCCAAAGTTTTAGTTGGCACATTAGCGGTAAATACTTGTTATTTCTGAAACAAAATATGAAATTCTCCGTATCATATATTTAGGTCAGTCGTTATCATCAAATTAGGAAATTTCATATGACTCATCATGCACCAAATTATCAAGACCATGATTTTTCTACTGGGGCGAAGATAACACCAGCTGTTTATATGGAGATTCGACATAATTTGCGTTAACAGAGTCATGATCGACATGAACGCGCCAAACCGTTCTACAAAAAAAGTCGTTCACAGTCTTGTTCTGAATCACTTTTGCTAGATAGTCGAAATATAATTACAGTAAGTAGTATATCTGTTAGAGCAGAATTGTCTGTCAGTGTTATACAATACCATTATTTTTCAGACTGACATTCATAATCGAGAACATATAATTTTTAACCGTCCAGGTGATCTCCATATTCGTACGTATTCAAGTCAATATCATTCTTCTACTAGTGAATTGCATGTAAATAATCTATCAGATATATTAAAACTTCATCAAAAATTAGGAAAGTCAGTTCTAATAGTAACTGCTGATAATGGATCTGATTGGAAAAATGATTCAGCAGCGAATATTTATAATTTTAGTCTATTATGGGAAGATATGAATTTTGACGTAATAATTATAAATCACTATTCCGTCAGAGCTAGTCGTTTTAATCCTGTTGAACGTGCAATGGCTACTCTTTCTAAACTTTATCTTTCGCTTTTCTACCTAATTTACAGTATAGTTTTTCTGTGAATTATAAGCATAATTTAGATAAATTTCATCTGTTACCTATTATCTATTAGGACCCTAGTGTGATTCCGAAAATTTTATTTACATTCAAACTCGGATTAGGAGATACTCCGACTTTTTTAACAGAATTATTTATGAAATAATACGTATGATGTTCACAATCATTTTTCTAGGTAGTGGTAAATCTACTCCAGTGAATTACATCAAAACAGCTATATGTCAACTTATAGATTTATTTCCTGATTTGTATAATAAAAAAATAAATACAGATGATAAAGCTGTTAAAATAGCATTTGATGCGACTCACTGATTTATATGATAATACATCAAATAATACACAGTCGAATGTAACACAAAAATAATAATAAATTAATTGATTGTAATAAAAAAAAAATAACTGAAGAACGTATGAAGGTAATCGTCAATTTTGATACTGAATTAGCTTTATTTCGTCAAATGGCTTTGGTCAGTATATTATTTTTCTTAATTTAAAGACTTGCTGAATTAAATATATTAATTTTTTCGTAGATTGGAGATTTGTTTGCAATTACTGATGAGTTAGATAGTCAATTAGTTCGTTTGGGCGTCTTTAAATCGAATGACGATTCAGCAGCATCAGGTTCTAAATTACTTACTCAAGCATATGATGGAATCAAAAATGAATCACGTGGAACCGGAACAACAAAACATGTTATTAAGAATGGCAAATTAGCGATTTTTGGTGCATCAACTGGACAACGCTATACCTTCAATATTCGTAATTTTTTTCAAAATATCGGCAATGACGGTGTCATTGTCCGAATGTCTTACTTGGTTATGCCTCATAGTGGATCAAAATCTATGTGTAATCAATTACCTATTTCGATGCCCAATGTTCTACATATTGGTGCTGTTATATCACTAATGGTCAATTCCGGCTATTCCGTACAATTATGTTTTGAAAAACTCCAATCAGATCTCGATGATGAAACACCACGTAAGGTTTTTTGAAAAAAAAGAACTTCAAAGCTTCATTTTAAGAAAAGAAGATTGAGAAACTTATCGTTATAACCGTTTTGTTTAAAGTAAAAATTTTGATCTTGTCGTAGCAGCATTCCCAGAAAAGATGTATCTAGTCGGATTGGCACCAGATAATTAGTCAAAATTAAACTGATGTATACCTTGCCATAACATCTTGATTGTTTATTTACATTTATATTTTTTGATGAATAGAAACATAGATGAGATATAGAACGAAGAATGTCTCAATGTGCGAGAGATTTCGCTTATATTCTGAAAGAGTTATTCAAAAGAATCAGTACACTGAATTACAGTGTACAAGCTATAATTAATGCTTGAATTTGAATTATTGAAGTTTTGGATAATTGAATAGGAAAAATTCCAGCATTAAAGCTTTCCAATGTTAAACAATTGAATAATTAAACTATAAGTATTCAACTATTCAACAATTCAGTAACTAAATTTGCCCTCTGCAATGCATGCAAGTTTCCATTATAGCAACACTGAAAATGTGTGAAACTAATACTATACGGGACGTTGTATAAAATGCAGAATCAGGATTATAATTATTACGTTTGCCAATTACTCTCACCATAATATTGTTTCTAATGATCGTTTCTTTTTCTTTCAAAAAAACTAGAAATTTTACCTTCGTATCAAATAGAACGAAGAAGTTTCATTGATGGTGAAGCAATACCTATGTCGTATGAACTGGTTTCTTCAGCAAATACTGCAAGTAAACGACGAAACATTGACATTGAACCAGATGGTTCAACCCTCAGTGCTTATGCTCTTCTTGCAAAACTGATCAAAGACGATTTGGCGAAATCTGAGGACGTGAACCGTCCACCACATATTAGAGCTTTATATGCAAAAACAGCTCAAAAACTACCACGTATAGTAGCAAATACTCATCTTTACTTTACTGCTATTCATTTATTGACAAGTAATGCTTATAATTTATTTAACTATGTTTCATTTCGTGAAGGAAGTGGAACAGCGAATTCTATTAGTGGTTTATCAAGTAAATTTATGGAAACAGCCAAAAATGTTGTTCATGATTACATGAAGATCCATTTTAAAAGTGAAACAATTAAAGTTGGTGAAGATGAAATAGTACAAGGGAAATATGTTATGAATGTAACGAAAGAGGCAGTTTTAGTTGGTTATAATCTCTTCAAGTATATGCAAGACATTCAATTATCTATATTTGACTTGTCGGGTCTTGATGCTATAATTAAAACACGTTTAGCCAATGGTACTCGTAAAATTGAAGAAGTTCGAAAACAATTAGCTGTACAGTAAGCTATTCATTTTTTACTACTAAGAAATATGAGAAAATTTTGAACTGTACTTACACATTTTTTGGTTTATTATTGAAGTTTTTCAAAAAAGAGGAAAAACATGATAAATTTATTTTATTTAAAGATTGACATTTTATTTTTAATTTATAAATCGGTAGTTATGTTTGAGTCTAATTCAATACTATATAATAAAAATATTGAATTTCTGTATTTAATTATGATTCTTATATTTCTATACAACAAAAAAGCGAAATAGTTTTACATCAACTTCTATTGGGAAATATATGACTGAGCATTGTGGATACACTATATATACATAAGACAAAACTAACTAATTTTTAAGCGTTGAAAATTGTTTAGAACATTTTTCTACTGAAGAAAAATTCATATAATGCTCGATATGACTTTTCAGCAAAATCAAATGACTTTCAGAGAAATCAAATGCTTTTTCGAACAATCTTATGAGTCTGTTGAGGATGAGGGCAAAAATACAAACATAGAGCATCTCTCTGACTGAGAGTGAGCGTGAAAACATGCACAGGGACGCGTCGCAAAAACATGTAGAAGGGCGTATCGCCTGAGTGAGGGTGAGGGCGAAAGCATACACAAGGGTGTATCGCCTGAGTGAGGGCGAAAATGACACAGAGAGCTATTGCTCCCATGTTGCTGCGTATGGTGGGGAAGTTCATTTTGGCTCTCTTCGGTATTGTGTGGAAATTCAGTTAGTTTCGTGGGAATTTATGGAATGCATTAGATGAGAAAGGAGACATTTGCTGATTGAATTTGAGTTGAATGGAGGTTATCTATATTCTTCTATTTTTTATAATTGTTTGGATAGGATTTATTTTTTTTTATTTAAGCTTCATCTAAACGTATACTATTAAATTTACTCTAGTGGATAGAGTTTCTCCACTACTTCTTATTCACAATTATCCTTATGATTTTCATGATTCTAGGATGGCTGAACCACAAGATTCTGATACTAGATTAATATTCAAACTGCCTAGTCCCATATTGAAACGTGTTTGGATAACAAACAAAAAAGATGCACCATCTTGGGCTGGTATTTTTTGTCAAAGTTCAAAAAAATCTTCAATGTACAAAACGACCGATAGAGGAACCAAGGCAGTAGATACATTAATTGAGTGTGGTCTTTTTAAACAATGTAATTATTTACCAAACAACAGTGGTTTGTGGAAAGCCACACCAATGGACATTTTGCGTTCCGAACAACTGCAAGTTGCTTTGTACAAATATGTTGAAATCAATGTTAATGATTATGAAACAATGTATGCAGGATGGTATTATCCAAGTGATCTTACCAACATGACCCATTCACTGATTGATCATTTGATCGGTTCTCCAAACATTTATGCTCAATATTATCATAATTATTTACCTGAAAAATATCCTGAATTTGGTTTACGTGTTGAACAATTAGAACGTGATGGTGTAATTGAAAGAAAAGAATTGAATGGAACAGTTAAATGGCAATATATTAACCACGAAAATTTAGTTGATCATGAACCAAATGAGAATATTAGTGGTTATATTATGAATCAAATTGAAACACGTGAAGTTGAAGAAATTTCAACAAGTGAACATGGATTTAAACGGAAGTTGACAACATTGGTACAACGAAATGAAGTTATAATTTCACCGAGTACGAGCTTTACCGTAACACCAGCCAAGCGTACTCATGTCGAGCATGAAACAGTACCAGTAAGTTTAATATACTTTTGCAAAGAAAAGGCTATAAAAATAAAACTCAAAGTTTAACAATAACTTTTCTATATTTATTTCAAAATTTTAACGATGATGATGTGCTTTCACCAAAAATGTTTCAAATATATATTTAAGTGAACTTTTTCAAAATTCGCACTACTCATCTTTATGCTTTGCTCTCATGCTCACAACAATTTATATTTCGTAGAATTTTTTCTATTTCAAATCATTTGTATAGAGCTTGGAACAAGAAATTATTCATTTTCAAAACATGTTGTCACCGAACAATAATAATATTATTACTTCATATGATGAATCTGATCAAAATACACAAAATCATACGAATAATGTTAAAATTGCTAAGAGTCGATCAATAACCAGTACAAATGATACTGCTGATGGTAGTACTACTGATTGTGTTACTTTTACTTCTACGGCCTCTACTACTACTACTTCGAATATTACTTCAAACATTACTACACTGCCGTCAATATGTACAAAGAGTTGCTTTGCTACATTTCCATCCGTTCTGGTAACTACGCAAAATACAATTGATCAAGATGAAATTATTTATTCACCAATGGATACTGAAGTAGGTTGTTTGATTTTATTTCTTAGGTATAAATGTTGAGTAGTTTGAAATAGTCTCAAACGTTGTACAACTTAAAGACAAAACCATCCTTCGGTTAACATTTTTTCTGAAATTGAAATAAAAAAAATTTAGCTCGTATAAAAATACATCACTACTGTTTTTCTAATTCATGCTAGTGACAAAAATATACCAATATGAGACTCCCAGGAATCCTAACATATAGTAAAAAGGGTGATATGTTAATATGTTTAAATGTTTCTAATTCATGTTAGTGACAAAAATATACCAATATGAGACTCCCAGGAAATTTGTTTTTGCTGTATATTCTCACTAAACTCAGGTTTTTGAGATGAAGATTAACTCTGGAAAAAATCTTTTTTTATAAACTGATAGAGTGTGAAATGCTGTATTATCGAATGAAATAAGTATTTTCGTTAAATTAAGTATAGCGAAGCATTTATTTTTTCGTCTTTTATACGTTTGTTTGGATGGGAAAAGTCGAGTTTTCCCAAAAACTTGCGAAAAAGTCAAAAAATACCGTTTTCTAGTTTTTTACCTACAATAACGACAATTTTCATTCAAATATTTTGATCAACGTGTCGTTCGAAAGAGCCAAAAATACTGAACAATACCTGATACTTAAAAGAATTCTAGATTCAAAATAGTAGTCAGAATAATTGATTTTTTATT